TGCTTGTCAGTTGTTTCCTCTTCATGTTCAACACAATCCACGGAAAACAGATCATATTTCATCCTTCGCCTCGGAATGTTTTCCACTGGATCCTATTCTGACTGCACATTTGGAAGATGAAGTTACACCTACGTGGACACAATTTTTCCATCAAAACACCTTCCAATTTGAAAAATGGTTACGACGTTGGAAACTTCGCCGAGATCTGATCCAGTATTGGCAGGCTTTTCTACAAGACTGTTGGAATTTGCAACTTGATTCAGGTCAGTTGTACACTCAAAAACGTATTCGACAGGCTCGACAAAGGATCGACGGACTTATTGCTTCCCCAGCAGATCATTTTCCATCGTCTCTCACCTTACATTGTCCTGTCCAGTGGCACAATTTGCTGTGTAAGACATTTCAAGACACCTCTGTTTTTCATCTTTGTAGTGTTGATTCAGCCACTATTCTGAAGAATATTCAGTATGATCTTCCTGGATGGATCACTGACAGATATCCTTGGGCTTTCGATTTTCATTTATCATTAAGCAAGGCGTATATTCTTCCAAAACCTTCACGCTCGTTTATGAAAGCACGACCCATCGTTAATTACAGTCGATCTTGGCCAAAACAGATGGGTTATATTTTGTCTGTGGTGTTGCAAGATATTTTGAAAGTTGTTTATCCATCCTTACTTCGCTACTGTGATATCAACAAGGTGATGAACGAAATCAAATGCTTTTTCCAAATTGATCATGGTGCTGACCTTCTTCTCTTTCAGACTGATACTGCTGGTTTCTACAACCAAGTTGAACATGACCGCATTCTCGGATCTATTGAATTCGCCATTCATCAATATATTTTACAACATGGACAGACCTTCGATTCTGTACTTCAAGCACACGTATATCAACATGAACGCACCCTGCGAGTTTTTAGAGGTCAATGGCGACAACACACCAAGATGTATCGTGATATTCGCTTGGGCGACATTCTACCTATTTGTAGCTTTCTGTTGAATCACAGTTTTTTCACCGTCGGAATGTCTACATTTTTACAAAAACGTGGTGCCAGCATGGGTAGTCAATGGGCACCTATTTTCTGTGCAGCTGTCGCACTCATGCGAGAACATACTTTTCTGTCCTGTTTTCGTCAATTTACCAACAATTCCACTTTTCATCATCGTTACGTTGACAATCGAGTGATGCTACTTCCTGTGGGACACTGGAACTCAGAAATGCAGTTATTTTGGAATCTTTCATTCTATTCACCTCCCATTCTACTTGAACAAGTTGAAGGATCTGAATTGTTAGGATACAACGCTGACGTGTTACAGCGTACAACTACATATCTTCAACCTGTGGACAAAGCGTTTCGTTCAACAAGGAGTTCAAGTACGACTAAGGCACTCACGTCCGGAGCTCTGGCCAGAATTCGTCTCATTTTGCAGAATACATGGCCCAGTTCTCTACAAATACCTCAAATTCAAGATTTTCTGTCCATTTGGTCTCGACGACAACGTGATGTATTGTCTTCTACTTTGAGAAGTCAGATTATCAAATTGGTACGCTCACGTCATCCACAACTTGATCCTGATTCTCTTTTTCACTTTGACTAGATACCATGACAGGAAACGCAGACAAAACAGTTGCTGGATTTCGCATTGTCGTGTTTTGTCGTCATTCGCCATCACTTTCGTGAAGTCATTTGATGTTGGACATTTTCATCAATGGGCATTCTTTGACGTTTTTCATCTGAAGTTCGATAACGTCACATTTTTTCTTCTTTTTCATTTACCTTTTCAGTTATGTTCATGTTGTGTTTTTCTCAACTCAGTTGTGTTCATCATACTTTTGCCGATTGCGAATCTTGACTTTGACAGTTCGAATCACACGTTTTTGAATTTTGAAGAGTATATTTAAGCTCAAACTCAAACCAATCTATCTCCTTCTTACGATGCCTTCGTTGCGTGAACTTAGCAATACTTTGGAACAGTGGTCCCTTCGGAAACGTCTCACCGATCGCTCCAGATCGCCAGTTCGGGAACCCTATATTTGTGATGGTCAGACACGTTCGAGTATCAAGAACGCTTCAGTTGAGTCTCGTTTCGAAAATGAAAGTGAACGATCCAGATCGCAAGTCCGGGAGCCCTATAGTTATGATGGTCAGACACGCTCGAGTATCAAGAACGTTTTGATCGAGCCACTTTCTGAAAATGCAAGTTCTACATCACATCGACGTCAAGATCGGTCTTTCACTGCAGCTGATGGTTCATCTGTTCAGTCCTCTTTCCCTTCAACCGATCGTTTTCAGAAGAGTCGCTCTCCAACGGGAACGCAGTCTGGACCCTTATTCTGTCCCAAGGAGACCATTTGATTTACAGTGAACCTTTCCCATATGTTGTACAAGAATTTCTAGGACATGTATATATTGCAAACTGATACTGCGATGAAAAACAGCGTTCACCAGCAGCTGCCTCCCCTGCCGGGGGGGCCATTGTGTGTGTGAAATCCGCTATCACTCATGCGGACCTGAGTTTCTGTTAACAAGTTGATTCAAACAATCCATCAGATGCAGGGGCGTGCAGCACCTTTGGCATACTGCACGCAACGAAGCTATTGCCATTGGTGGGAAGGGGAGACTGATCACCTCCCTGTACCTGCAGAAGTTGGTTTTGAACTGTTGAACAAGCTGTCCATTTTCATGCGTATATGTTGCTAATTTGAGATTATCTCAGAAATCAGAGTTTCCCACTGCTTTCCCTACTCGACTGACCAGGATTTTGGACCTAGGAACCCTCAAGGCATGAACTACTTCACCACTATAAAGTTCCTCATTCGAGTAATGTTACTCAGTAACATGCTCCCATCAGCAGTGTGTGTGTGTTTTTTTCGTTTATATAGATCTTTGGCTTTCAATGTTGAAGTCTTCAATTTCAAGACCAGATTGTTTTGCTTGATGCGTCTTGGTGCTGTGCTTATCCTGCTCACTTGTCTCCTTCCTTGGATACCTATCAATCCGCCTGTCTCTCTCTCTCTCTCTGTATCGTATCCGCATCTGTATGTGCCGTTCCAGGTTTGATGTCCTATTTGATTCCACAGTATTCCACATACCTTGTGGATACCTTGTGGAAGCTGGCCTTTCGAAGTGCTCGATGCAAGTCCTGGAGAAAATGTGTCGCTTTCAAAAGTCTCAAATCATGCACTGTTGATATGATACGAAACATGACGGAACCACAACAAAATGACATGGAAGAACAATATATGCTGTCTGTTGATGTGTATCGAATATCTGTTGATCATGCCATTACCGTGTGGCTGAGGGTCCCTCCTGATGTCGTTGCCGTTCCCTGTAGATCTCATCATTGAGATTCTCCATGCGTTGCCTGCCGTTTCTACGTGGAAGCTTCAGTGCTTTCAGCTTCGATATGAGTCTGTCCAGAAAAGGGGTATGCTCCAAATTATGGCCATCAAAAATGGGGTTTTCACAATGATAAACCAAAGGATTTGGGGTTTTCACAAACTTTCCTATCTATGGTCATGGTTTCTTCAAGGATGGGAAAAATGATCTTCCCCACCACCTCGGACTTTGAGATCATGAAATCTTAGTCTTGGCTCATGTGCAACCAAAATCTCAACAAACGACACGACCAACAAAGATAATCCATCATAATCCATTGTCCAACTTCAGAATTCAGCATGTCAGATCATGACAAATCATGTCAGAATGATACCGTATGACGCTTTCGTGGACTTCAACACCTGGCAGTTTCCGCCAGTGACTTTTGGGCGCTTTCTTTGGACTCCAGGGCCTCACTTGCAAACTCTGTGAATCACCTTGTCAAACTACTCTTGGTAGTCACATTATCACAACTTCCGCTGCAAGACAAACCTGAAGTCACATTGGCATATATCAAAACAGTATACAGTACAACAATCACCCTTCGTTCTTCTACAGGTCTCGAAGGTCAAACAAGTCAAGTAGTCGGCGGGCGTTTTGTTCACACGAAACCAGTTGCCAAGTACAAGGATGCACGTATGCTACGGATGCAACCATACCGTTGCTATAGGTTATACCTATAACCTAACAAGATCTAACAAGGAACTTTGGTTCGTGAGCCAATCCAAAGAAATCCAAAAGTCCTCCTTCCCAAACCTCTGGCAACCACCGTATCCATGTGAAGTAGAGATAACTCAGGAACTTCAAAGGCTGCCAAATCATGAGCAAATACATGCAAATACAGTATCAGCAGTTGTGAACCTGCATGGAATCTCATCCCGATTTGATCCGGCGTGACTGGGATCAGCACCCGCATCTCAGACAGTCTGGCCTTTGCATCTGTCTTAGCTTCAATGTGTTTCACCTCAGGACAGCCAGTTATTGGTCCACCAGAAAACAATATCACCTGTATCACCAATCAGCCTGTGAAGCACAGGATGATCTTTACAGTGGAGATTTGCAGCTGCCCCAAGATCCCGAAACCATGCCACTTGCCGTAGCGCCGTAGCATCATGACATGCGCTCCAAATTGTTCATGTTCATGTCCCCAGTCGCCGCCTCTGGAATGACGACTTGTTGTAAGGCCTGGCGCCAGTAGTTGTGACACAATCTTCAGCGAAATCAAAAGCCTCAAAGGTCCTTCGTAAGAACTGCGGATTTCCAGTGAAATCTTTCAAGGAATAAACTTGCGACACAATATTTTTGGACATGCTTGGACCCTTTGTAGAATTGGGGCAGATGTTTTCAACAGCACCGAATCGCCAGATGCGGAAGAAGCAATTAATCGTTGTTGGTACGTCCACGGCTTCGGGCTGGGGTTTTCGACGCTTGCGAAACTGCGAAACCCCTTGTTTTAAGAGTGGCACTGGGCAACACACATCCGTATTGGTCAGAACTGGGATGATTGATGCTGAAAAGGGCAACAATCTGTGGTCCCCCCGTTTTTTGGACTATGGAATGCATGCTTTCATCATGTTTCAGTATCAGTCTGGTTTCCCATGCTAGAACAATCTAGAAAAGTTGCAACTGACAATTGGTTTGCTTTGAATGACCGCTGAAATGCGAAGAAAGTAGTCCTGCTTCGCATGGGACACACTAGTCGGAAAGACGCAAAGACTTCAAAAGCAGCATGTGGTCGCACTCTTTGAACATCATGCCACAGCATAGCCCACGATCTTTGTCGTGCAAGGCCAGTCTCCGTGGCAAGGATAGTGCTTCCTCGGCGCGTGGAAGGACTTTAGCAACAGCTGACGGAGACCAACTCGTGATGGCCAACTTTCCATCACTTGGGTAGTGCCTATCTGGTGCCTTGCGTGACTCAAATGTTTTAGTTCGTCTTGCAGATCCCGATTTGAAAGTCTGTTTTGTACCATCAGCCACATGAATTTCCAGACTCTCAACATCTCTCAACCATTATCGTGTAGCAGCCAGTGTAGCATTTCCTGGATCTCGTGATGTCGTGCTTGGTAACCTGAGCTCATACAGGTCGAGCCTCATGACCGGAAGTTTCCGGAAAAGTCCAGATTCACCACACACAGAAGAGATCCACTCATCCTGCTGCCTCGACATGGAACAATACTGTGGGTCCCTGTGGGTCCCTGTGGGTCCCTGTGGGTCCCTGTGGGTCCCTGTGACCTTCAGAAAAGATTAGCATCTAAGTCATCTTCTCAAGCAGTCACGCACAGAGATATAAATGGATATAAATTACAATCAGTTAAAGGAGACTAACACTAGAAGTAATAACACCAATGACTATAACTATAAGTACAAATATAGATATAAAATGATATAAACATGCCGGTCAACATGAATATACATGTAAATACAGCACATATCAATTACACAATGTAGTAGACACGAGCTCATGCATTTGCACTTCGCAAATCCGGACAGGTGGTTATGGACCAAAGATGACCAAAGATGACCAAAGTAAAAACCAACACTATTTTGGTAGAAAATGGTAGAAACATGATGAAAATTTGATGAAACATGTATGGACCATGGCTTCTCATGGCTTCTCCATTCTGAATCATTCTGACACGCAGCTTGTCACAACAGAGCCGCGCAGCTCCAGTGACCCCAAGCTGCCTTGTAAGTCGACACCCACAGCAATAGCTATGCAGTGGGTCCAAGATCTGCAAAGCGGCTCACCGGGCAAAGGGATGGAGCTACCATAAGCTACAAAGATCGATGTAAACGTCGTATCATACATTATATTATTATGTAGTAAGTACCCAGTGTGTGTGTTTATTTTTTGCGGAAACTTGTGAATGGTGGGATCTGAACTCTCAGGAGGCACCAATTAAAAGCTCGCAATGTGCCAAAACTGCGGTTTGCACATCTTGTCCTCAAAAAGTATTGAACTACAACGGTTTAGAGTTTAAAGTGTGAATTCTGGCAAATCGATGCATTTCACATGATATATAACTTTATACTTTAAATAGCTTAAATTGAAGTCATGATGTGAGAATCTTTGAGCTCATAAATGGAAATACATTACACACTTTGAAATGTCCCAAGATTTGTCTATTCAACCCGCTGACGCCACGCCAAACTTCCCCTTCAGCGCCTTCTGTTGCCAGTGAAGCGCACAGCCTTTGGGCGCATGTATGTGCTCTAAGAAAAGGTACCGGCCTTTCGGTTTCAGCACCCGAGCAATTTCCTGGGAGAAGGATGCAAAAGGCAACGGCTCAGCAGCAAATCCAAGACCCAATCTTCTGCTGATCATCACATGCTCCCAAAGCTGACTCAAGATATCATTTTGTAAGATTTTGAATAGATTTTGTAAGTTCTCCTTGTACATGACCCACATCGCGGAATATCATGCCAAATAGTGAGGAAATCCTATCCATTGGAATAATTATATTGGAATGTAGGGGTGGCAGGACCTATCTGATCTATCTGTCTGTACACAAATAGGAAAACACTGCTGAGCAAATCAACCATCCCCCGCGACCCCAAATGTGGAGCGCCATCCATTTTCCATCGCGTCTCTTCATCCATTTTCTCCAAGTGTCTGTCAACATCCTCTGTGGCTTGTCCACACTGCCTGAGCTTGAAAGTTGGACTATATAGTAAATTATAAGTGACAAAATTATATATTAATACATAATCCCAATGAGCAGTGTGCAAATCAACCCCGGAGGGCATAAAGCCAACAAATACCAACACAGTCTCCAGTTTTGTTCGCTGAACTTGGCCCAGCCACACATCACCAAAGATCCAACTACAGCATCAAACTGTGCAGCTGGAAATGGCAACGATTCAGCAAAGCCTTTCACTGCATGGAATTCCAAACCTGGCAAAGGCTTGAGTGGCCACCCGCAGGATGGGTGGCTTTTGAGACGGACTGTCAAATATGGTAAAACGTCAAACCACTTTAAGCAGCGCTGGAAGTTCCAGGGAAAGCAGGGGAAAAAGGTAACTGTAGATTATCAAACTACCCATCTCCTGTCAATTTACTGATCGAAGCCCTCTGCCAAATCAAAACACGTTCGCTTTGTATACAACCTCCCGTGCACCCTTGTGCACTGCATGTGCAGCTACAAACGCACACAAAACCAACGCAAGATGTCGGGTTTGTCCGATAAATCATCTGCTTCTAGCCTTCAGGGCATGGCCAAAGGAGGTCAGAGGTCACATCAGGGTCCAAACCAGTTAGAGATATTCCAGCTGGATATAGCCTTGGCTGCAGAGTCCAGTCAGAAGCTTGACCCCATGGGTTTGGGGTAGATCTTCAGTACGGGCAAGAGAAAAACATAACCTACGTAATGACACAGCTTATTCGATGACCTGATGAGCCTGATGAGATAATAGAGTACGTATATACTATAAAACTAAAAATATAGATATAGAATTCATAGAATGATATAGATTGCATAGCCAGTCTTGTGGTGCACTCAAACAGGCAATCGCTACAGAATCGCTACAGCCGTGCCAAGAAACGGCAGGTTGGATGCCAAAGGGCCAACCCCGCAACCAATTTCCAGCACTTCGGTACGAGTACCGGCTGGCAGGAACGACCTGCAGGTCACAACTACCAGGTCCTACCCGGCTTCACCAAACACACAAAGCGGAGGGCACTTGCTGTTGTTGGGAGGGTATCACTGTAAGATATTGTAAGCACCAGTAGCAGGATCAAAACCACAAGATTTAAGCATGGATTGGAAATATAGGGAGGCTGCCTGAACCCTGTCGACTCTTATTTGATCAAGACAAAGGCAACACGGTGAAGGTGAAACAAAAAACGACGTTCTTCCCGTGGATTCTGCCATGTTCTGAAGCCAAGCTCCAATCAGCGCTGAGCCACTCGTGCAAGTTTGCAGAGTCCACGGCGGCTACAGTTGGGAGCTTGATGCCCAGATTGAACTGATATTGAATCATATTGAACTCACAGAAACATATGTATATATATGTATATATATATATACATAATGTAATATATATACATATATACATGATATATATATATAATAATATATATATATATATAACAATATATAATACATGCTATGTATACATAATATGTATATATGTAATAATATATATATAATATAATACTATATCATAGTGATTAAGATGCATGTATTATATATATATATTATTTTATAGTTTATATATATATATAGATAAATCATCATAGACCATCCCAAACATTTTCAGAAATTCACCGTGCCACTCCAAATGCAAGGCACAGCATCTCCTCCCGCGCTTGCATGAGCCGTGGAGGATCGATCCCCTCCAGAATTCTTCGATAGGCACCCACTCCTGAGCCGACTCGATGGGCATTGGGAGGATTCCAACGAATTCCAACGATTTTTTTTACATGAATCATGTTGAATAACATTGGATAACCAACTTTGATGAACTTTGCACCTCTCTGGCTCCAACATTCCTTGCTGTTCCCGTTGTTGTTTGCCACACAACCAAGATGCCATGGGCTGCAATCATGATGTCATCGTACACCTCTCTGGATGAGTCTGACTTCATGGCCATCTGGACCTGCTGCTCCAAGAGATTCCTCGGTGAAGTTGTTAAACAACAACTCTCACGATGGAACATCATGGAACCACGAGATAACGGCTGGTGAACAACATGGAGCAAATGATAACACATGTAATTCCCACAGTTTTGCGTTCTTTGCCACGCGACGCGAAGGGCCCTAATCAAATTGCCTTTGCTCACGAATACGTAGTGAATGAAAACATGAAGTATGAGCTGTGGAACATTGTGGAACTGTGGGATTGTAAAGAATTGTACTGTAGACCATCGAAGCAAGATGAAGATTCAGAATGTCCCTGAATTTGTACAGGTCACCAATCAGGACTTTGATCCTCTCTGCATCCGATACGTTCCGTGTCGATCATACCGGATATTACCGGATCAAACCAAGCATCTTTTTGAAAATCTGGTCTGTGCTCAGTTTCATGTTGAAGCCCCCCACAGCATCTCCAAAGTTGCTCCTTCCTGAAAGCTGGCTCCATAGCCGACAACACGGCCAAACCAAGGGCAATGGTTCCATGGGACTAAGAGGCCAAAAGAGTATCTCGTTCAATTTTCCGTGAACGTGCTGTATTCACAAATAGATTGCGATTTAAAGCACACATAGTTTCAGAATGCTGAGAGGTTTTCAATGCAATTCTGCCAAAGTGAGCTGTGCCATGCGTCTCAACCTGGAATAGACTCAAAGACCACAGAACTTCAATTGCAAAGCTGAGAATCCTCTCGGCACAGCAAGACAGGCTACCTCACTTCAATGCAACTGTTGCAAAGATGCAACTGCAGGGAAGCTTTCTAGAGCAGAGGAACTGCACAAGTGCTTCAACAAATTCAACAAAACAATTCCTGGCCATTGTGCAGAACATCTCCTCTGATTCACAATCAACACAAAGTGCTGGTGTCACATTCGGCACTTGTGAATTAAATTGAATCAAGTCAGAACACTGGTGAATCACCATACTCACAATGGAAGAAAGTCAGTGATTCATGATTCATGTTGTGAGCGTGTTCCCACGCCAGCCTGTGTTCGGCACCCAATTTCCTTGCCGCATTTGACTGCTTTGGAGAAGGCTTCGATTGAACCACCATCACAATATATCACAATGCAGAATCAAGAACCCTCATCACAGTTTCTGTTCTTTGTTTATTTATTTTTCAATATTTTTCTATCTGTTTGCTTGTTGCGTTCGGTGAGCTGGTTTGTTCTTGCTGCGTTTCACAAATCTTGTCCCGCATTCAGAGGAGAACTGCTTGCATGATTTCCTGACACGGGAGGGTTTAAATTCTAAATGGCTTTCCTTTGCAGCCTGCTGAAATCTGCTGAACCTTCATAGTCCTTTTCAAAGTTTGCGTTGTCACGTCAGCTGCCAGCCGAGTGTCACATGCCGTGAGGAGGGCAAGTAGCAGGACACGAATCCAGCGCATGAGGTGCACAAATATGGAATCATCCTCCACCCTGACCACCAACGCAACCAAGTCATCTTTACTTTGCCCGAGGATGTAATCAATGGCCCTCACTTGAGGTTTGATGGAGGTGTTTTTGAAATGCGTGGTCCCGTGTCCCATGTTGGGTTCTCGTGCCTTGCTCCGGCGTTCTTGGCAGGGGATTCATTTATATATATATATATATTATAAATATAATATAATATAATATAATATAATAAAATAATATATATATATATGTATTATAATTTGGGTTTCTATTTCTATTCGCTAAACCCAGCTGCAGCAGCCCTGGATGACATGCACACACTGGCATCATCAGGACGTTTTGAGCCCTCAAGCTGCATATGAAAGCAAGAGAAACTTGAAGTGCCATGCAAGAATGCAAGAATATGGCAGACAATACCATTAACATACATTAACAGTACTGAACCCAGGATGCTTTCAAAATTTTCAAATCCATGCTCTCTCTACGAAGTGCCTTGAGGCCATCTCCCGCCTCCTGCTTTTCGAGCAACGATTCTCGAAGTTTCGAAAGCTTAGCTTCATCTGTGGCCTCTGGCTATCTCTGGCTGAGTTGAGAAAGATCTTGAAATTCTGGATTCGGGATTGCCTTGGATCTGTTAGGATCTGTTAGGCAGGTTCAACCCAGAAAATAGATGAACATAGTAAACCAATGTAAACCAGGGTGTCAAAGAAAAGCCAGACGGTGCCCGAAACAGAGATCAAATGCAACATCTGACCTGAATCTTACAGATATGAACAGCCCGGTCTCTTCCAAAAGTAGCCACATAGAGGTCATTCTATGTAATTCTTATTTAATCTTCTTTACACGACAAATCCTCCCGTATTTGCAAACAATCAATGTGTGTTTGATGAACTCAAAAGATGCTCGGGATGAATGGGGGGGGCCGAGTGTTTGACAAAACTTTGAAAGATCGCAAAAAGAGCTGCAAGAGCTGCACTTTCGAGATCCTCGTATGAGGCAAATGCTCCCGAAAATCAAAGTACTGAACCTTCTGCTGCTCTCGAAGTTGCTCTGCTTGCCTGGACACTACACGATACTCTGGAAACCGCCCTGATCTGGTCTGTGGTGAATGTTGACAATTCCTGCACATGGTGTATTCCTTAAAATCTGGGCCCATGACATTGTCAGTGAGGGATGGTGTGTTCATGTACATACAGGACTTTCTTCATTCGCTAGCAACACAAACACAGACTTTCTGCTTTTGAGATCTTTCAAGTACAAAGTCGACAACATGCCAGGCATCACTGCGTTTCAACACACTACACACTTACTATGCGATGTCTCGCGCCTCTTTTGCTCGAAGGTCTCGGCCAATCTTTGCTCCGAGACCGCACAACGAGCGTACAAGCCGGTAATCTCAGCAATGATAAAAACAGCCAGCACATCTGGCACATCTCATCACCAGGTGTAAGCGGGTGCAATTGTTAGATGGGCACTAAAAAGGTGCTCAGGATGGCAGTGTAGCCTTCCAGCCATCTTCCAGCCATCTCTAAGTTCTCAACTGTTTCTTTGCCCAATTTCATCCAATTTCAATCTCAAAAAAAGTCGATTTCGCGCCAGGTCTTCAGTTGGTTTTTAGGTGCAGTTGGATGTGGGCTCCCAGGCTGCAGTGTCGAGCTTTGAGATCTCCTCCAGGCGTTTACTGTTCTGTTCCTGGCAACTCACAGCTGAATCCTCAAAGTATGAGGAAAATATGAACAGCTCAGGGGTTGCTGTGCTGCATAATGTTGCATATATGTAATATATATGTAATATGTTACAGGTACAAATCTGAAATCTATTATAATCATTTATAATTCATCTCTCCTAATATATCATATTTGTTGCTACGTGCTACAATTGAGATGAGGCAATGCGAATCGATGAAATAAATGACACAAGGAGCGTTGGGATGGCCCAGGTTGCTCAATCGATCCAAACAGAATTGAGGGTTGTTGAGGCGAGGACGACAGATTTGCTATTGGGCGAAATGGGCAAGCTGCCAAGCTCAAACTTCATTCAACGTTTCACTGCGTCAATCTATGGCCTCCAGGGACTGAACTTGATGCTATCCCTGGTCCCTGACCCGCCTAATCAACAGTATTTCCAGAGAGTCTACACGTAATCTGCCATTTCCTCCACAATTTCCTCATCCTTTCTTGGTCCTATGCCAACTGAGCCCTTCTTGACGGTATGTTCCGACCCTAATCCCATCCTGGATCTGATCCACACGACCAACAGTTTTCATTAGCTCTTCATGCACCTGGCCGAAGATGGCTTTAGGATGAATATGGATGAACCATATATTCCGCAAAGAGCGAACTGTCACACCGAAGCGTGACCTGTTTGCAACATTTTGCAGCTGTGTGCAGTGTAGTACATGTATGAACATCTAAGCCACGGGTGGCAAAGTACAGTATCCTTTTCAGGACTCGTTGGTCAGCTATCGTACAAGGGGCATGGTCTTTGACCAGGGGTATGCTAGGCAAAAGCGAATATTGAAAGCTGCATGGAAAACTTGCAAAATGATGCAGCATTTACACACAAGTCAAGTCGAGCACTGACCCGCAAAACGCGCAATTTTACTTGCAAGCATCAAGCTACATGGGCGAAACTGATCCACTTGATATCAATTGCCATGCGAGCCTGCGCCATCAGGCGGCTGGCTTGGATCGACCTCATCCCAGCTCTGGGTCAAATGGGCAATGTTGGACACGAATGATGCACCATGCTACGAAATGCTACACACAGAAATGAACTTGATGATCCTATCGTCTGATGTTATATAATGTCATATATATATAATATGTTGTTTGCTACACAGCTTCAAGCAACGCTAGAGTTGAAACTGAGTCCACATCTCTGATCATTGCTAGTCCGAAAGACATGTGACATCCTAAGAAGTGCCCCATGTATCCCAGACAGCGTCAATGCGGACCAGTTTACGATTTTCCTTCCTCCTTCAAAGTTTTCCAACAGGAAAGGGACAAACTGTGCATTTCTAAGGTCGCAACTGCCTTGACTCGTCCATGGTTCCGTGCCGCGTGTTTCACCCAGCTTATGACAACAGAAAGGCTCTGTCTTGGACTTGGGCACATCGATATCTCGATTATTTCAGATTCTATCGACCCCCATGGCAACCAAGCCCCTAGTAACACTACTGGATGATCAAAGATGTTGCCGGCTGTGTGCTTCTGGGTCTAGCGTGGCTGCTGAGTACAAATGATTTGGATGGTCTGTGTTGAATTGTGTTGATTTGGTATGTGTAGATGGAACCACTATGCCACCCCGCACTGTGTTGCATGTCGCCGTTTTCAGCAGTGAATTCCTCTTGACCAAAAGGAACGCACGAAAAGATGAAGTGAACATGGCACAGGATGTCCAAAAGAAACAACATCTCTGTGGGTCATGATGCCTGCAAAGCTTTATCAACCATCACGGCCGCGTACTGTAAGTTCAAACGAGATATACACAGTATGTTTTGCAAATCACCTCATGGATTCAACAGCTCCGGCAATCTATGGCAATCTAGAACTCTGTGGTGGAAACTCTCATTCCCATCACATATGCCCGTCACGGCCATTTTCCCCCTGCAAGTTCTAACCCCAACTTGCACCCTGTCTTTGGCAAACTGGCCTTTAGCCAGTTGTGCAAGCTAAGCTTCCCCAAGTACAAAGCATTTGAGATCTCAAAGAAAGCATTCTCTGACGGCTGCTTCTGGCAACTCGCTTCAATGATCCTTGCGTGGACTATTGCTGACTGTTACCTGTTCAACGCATCCAGGCTTCACAAAGCGCAGCTGCACGGGAGTCATCCTGGCACGTTTGATGGGCGCTCAAAAGAGAAACACGGACTGGCACACACTGAGACCTCACATGACGTAGATTCCCACGATACTCTTCAGCGGCTACAACATGGCTTGAGAATGCTCGGGCGGTTCAAATCTAGAATTGATCAAAAGATTCTGGCAGCAACTGTTTGGACTTACTCAATCTAATCCAACACACGGTTTGGATCAATGGATCATGGCTCGAATGAGGTTCGAGTGGACTAAGCGCCCAACAGTTACTTTCTTCGAGTGATGCCCACCCTGAAACACTATTCTGACATAGTTTCTGACATACTATCTGGAAGTATATATGGCATATGTGTTCTGGCATTCTATCTGACATTCCTTCTGCCGTTCTCCCTGGTGTCTGGCTGAGGTCCGGCAGTGCCCACTGAGATCTGGCGCTTGCGGTTGAGGTCAGGCAGTGTCCCCTGATCTCTGGAGCTCGCAGTGGAGGACGAGGAGGAAAAGAGGAGAGGAGAAGAGGCGGGACAATCTGTGATAAAATCTAGAGACCCTCACCTGGCAGGTGGGGAAAAACGTACCGATAACTCATTCCTGTTTCTGTACTCTATATACCTGGTTGCTGTAATATACAACCGCGGTGCAGCGACTATTTGCACCACAGGCTGCGGTCCTGGCCTTCCTACTGTGAAACATCGTGAAACCAATGTAGCTGTAGGTACAGAAATGGCATCCATAACATCTAGGCATAGGACGCGGCCCCAGGATGCCCTACGGTGGATCCACAGCCTCCGCCAGACGTTGAAGCAGTCCTGACTCACAAATCAGAAGTTGCAGATTGCAGGGGATATCCGAAAGGAATAGGAGAAACGTTTCTCTAATTGCACAACACAAACATAATCTAATTACGGAATCCCGACAAAACATGACATTCCAGATCCAAGAAGCCATGTCAAGTCCAACTCATGCACAGGACCCATTACACTTGACAAGCGAAGCAGGTTTAGCATCAATGGGCAGGTCCTTCGCGTGGGTCAAGGCGTTTTTCTCCACCAGCGCAGTGCCTGGTCAACAAGCCATGGTCAAAACAAGGTTCGCCATGTCGCAGATTGAAACTTGCAGAAGTGCGCAATCATCCCACATACTTGTGCCACTCAATGTTTGGGCACTGCAAATTTGCCAGAGCCTGAAGAGGGCAATGCCAAGGATTTTGTTGCTGGACCGGTTGGCTTCAATTGTTTAGATCCCCGTTTGGGCGAGTTTGCAGTTGCACTTGCTGCTCCATTTATGGTGTATTACATAATAGACATAGACTTCCTCTCACTTATTCTGCCAAACTTCTTGGCATGAACTTGTGAAAATACATTCATGATATCACATATATACACTCGTACAATCTCGTACAATAGACAATAAATTATTAAACGGATGTGTATTTATGTGATTTTATGTGTATTTCATGGTATGAAGAAATAAATTAAATAAATGATATGCTTTCATGAAAGTGAGCTGGCAAAGGCATGGGCGGCATGGGCATTCCTTTCCGTCTGAGTTCTTCCAGGATCACCTTGATCAAAGATGATCAAAGCCATGCAAGATACTGCGTCTACAGACTGAGACCGACTGAGACCCTTTGACAATTTGAATCCTGAGAAGATGATGAAGATGTGTGTGTCTGTGTGTGCAGTGTGTGCAGTGAAAAGCATGGGTTTCTTCGGCTCAGAACCAGCCTGTCTTGAAGCAGTGGCATCAACCTGGCAGAGCAGGATGTGTTCGGTCGAGCGAAATTCGTGGCATGGATCTCTTGTCTGTGGATCTGGTCCAGACCTTGGCCAACCATGATCAATTGAATTGCTCACACTACAATAGTCACTACAAACATTGGCTAATACATATTTCAACATGTTAGCAGTTGTAGCTCTGCCCAGATTTCAAGTCCAATTGTAGCTCTGCCTGAGCAAATGGTTGACTAATGCTGACTGAGACGTCTTACGGAAGACGCAGTGTCACTACGTGTCACCAGAATACGATGTACAAATTATATAACAGAAACAACTTCGACCTTTGACAAGCTGAAGTCATGACTAGTCATGACCTATTGTTTTTGAAAGGCCGTCTTGCCTTGCCCATTCTTTTTCAGTTCTGTGCCACGCCTGGGCCATGCCTCGACACTGGCCTGGCCAAAATCAGGCGCATCGTGCAGTCCACAGTATACCCCAAAGAGCCAAGTGAATCGGCGCAAGAAGTCTACGAGAGCACTACTCACAGAAAGAGGAGAAGAACGCAGTTTCATTTCCTTCTGTAATTGAACCTGCCCCCAAAAGCTTCAACAGGACAGGACAGACATTGAGAAACATAGGTGACACTTTCAACGCTTCTTGTTCTGCACAGCTCATCAAGTGCAACAAGTAGTAACAAGTAGTAACAAGTAGTAACAAGGTCTCTGCAACACTGATCCGACTGATCAAGAACGCCCACCTTGGGCAGGGCTTCTGAAAGCGCCAAGAGCAGCCGCAGGGCGGCGTTGCGCACTGGGATGCCATGAATGTCACCTGGTCTGTTCTGATTTGGGCGATCGTCTCGCTTCCGTTTATAGCTATATAATGTAGTACTGTTCATATCTTTTCATCAGGTGTGCAACAAGATATAATAAGTGAAATCACGACTTGTTGCAGTGGAGACCGGTTGAAGTTTCTGTATTTCAATGATCCTCCGTTAATTCCACCTATTCATTGCACCATTTGCTCTGACATTACCAACTTGGCTCCAGACCTTTGGGCGTCTCGCCCGCAAAGTCAAACCAAAGGTCCAAACCTTTTGGGAGGAACAAAGCGACCCAACCGCTGGTGTATTTCAAACAGCTGTCGCTGCAAGTGCAAAGGTGGCGGTTCTCCTGTAATTTCTATGCCAGCAGGTGCTTTGGTATCTAAATGTCTTTAGGATTATGTGAGTGAGTGGTGACGTAGTGCTAGATTTTGGATTTTCTTTCAAAAGACCTAGACTTGTGCCCTACAGACAATCAAGTGAGGTCTTCCTTGAGCATGTCATCTCAACACGAACTTCAACGCGAAGGTTTCGATGCTAGAAAAGATTGCGTCAACCGGTCTCCGCGCCTGCACCCAAGGGTGCAGATAAGTGCCGCCTGACAGCAGATCAAGATGAAGAGACTAGTTAGAGGAATCGGATGATTGTTCGTTTCGGATCGAAATCCAACTGTGCTGTACGTGGAACACAATTTCAACCTTAAGCATGCAAAGTTGCTAGGGTTGACGAGCTATGAAAGCGCTTCCAAACATCTTGAGGTATTTGATGGTATTTGTATCTTCAAGACGTCAAAAATGACATTGTTTCCTTGGCTCACCTTGGGACATCATTAACATCATAAGCAAATACGAACAAGATCGGGCTCCATAGGATCCTGTGCAAATCTTCCAACGTGATCAGAAGTTCACCTACACAGTCATTTATATTGTTCCTATGACTAGGAACCGTTCCTTTGCCTTCTCAGAACTTTTACTCCTTGACATTTGTAATGCCACACCAATCAGCTCATAACATCAGGTGTATGGATTGGAAAGCTAAGAAGTGTCTACATTGGTCTATGAGTCTACTCGGGCCTTGTGCCAGAATCTCCTGAAGCTGCCCCAGTCAGAATAGCTGCACTCCTGGTGGCCAAGTGAACAGAATTAATTGACCAAAGCAACACCATGATTCTGATTCGACGGGATAGCACATTTACACAAATGCGTACTGTATGCATACTACTTTTTTACAAACGAATCCTACAGTTTCAATGCAGTTTCTTCATCGAGTCAACCAGGGTCCCTCCTTGAGCACAAGCGCAAGGAACTGATGAAATTCATGGCCGCCTTAGTGAAGATCACAACTTGCTCGGAAAAACTCCTCACACACTTGCTGCGTGTGATTCATAGCTACAACTCATTAGAGTAGCATCACCTGCAACTGCTCCTTCCGATATAAATCTACTTAGGTTTGGAGGACTTCAGCAGTGATTTGATGCTGCGAATATCTTGCAAGCAGTTTTGAATATTCCCCTCTCGGCCGTCGCATTGTTTTCTCTATTTCATAAGGAGATGTCCAGCGAACAAAATCTCCATGGACCTGTTGGAATCTGCCAGGGCACCACCAGCCGCTTGCTCTTCCAGCGAACAGGCAGAGTTGTGGTCTTGGACAAACTACGAATGGCCTAACAAAAAGCGGTGAGACTGTCAGGGCTGTGACATCTGGGCTTTTAGCTTCAAATTGCTGCATGCTCCAAACTGTTTTGATTTGACTCTTGCATGCAAATGAGGATGGTACCTCCATCAACTGACCCAAGTAGCGAAACAGCAAGGGCTTGCCAGCCTCAGCAAGATCAGAATGACCCAACGATGGAGGGTATTACTTACACATTCTCTACAGATGCTCTCAGATTTTCATCATACAGCATTGTTATGTATTGTTGATATGATTGGAACTGATTTGATGAGGGTGTTGCTGCTTCATTGAGCTTGCTACTTCGATCTACATGCTGATCTGAATGGCACTAGCACCAGGATCCACCACCAGAATACACACTTCGCCTGCCCCGTGTGGCATTGCCAACTTGCCAGGTAGCAAGGACATCGCTACAAAGGCAAAGAATGTCCATCACCTGCGAAGTTCATGATAGGACGTGTCATGACAAAACTATGCTGTCCAGGATGCTTTTTTCTTTGAATCCGCTCAGAATTCACAAAAGCTACTGGCAATTGTGATCAATTTCGTGCAATCAGGAGTTCTACTCCTGACATTGCAGCTGCTATCAGCAAGTATCAGCCACTGTTGGCCACTATATGGCCAGTATCAGCTACCCCAAAGCTCCAGGTCCATTTTTGCCGAGTCGCGCAGCAAAAGGCAGCACTTGCAAGCTGTCTCTTTGTACTCAGTCGCATCAACCAACTGAGGAGTTCCTTAGAGACATGGTTTCGAAGCAACAAATCTGGATGGGTGTTGTGAACCTCCAATACTGAACAGTGACGGATAGATTTCAACTATCTATTCTCACTATTTTTCACGGCAACCGACCCCGTGTGACTTTGAATTGCAAAAGATGCAACATGACAAATCGAAAAGACAAGAGACCCAAAAGATCCTAAAAGAGCCCTAAAAAGTGGCAAGCCGAGTGTGGCCTAGTATCGGACTGGAAGAGTTCTTCCTGGCGCATGAGCCGTCTGAATGTCAATCTCTGGCAGCATCTAAGCATTTGGTCATGGTTGTTGATGTTATTGTACATGTAACTTGTGACAATGGATATGGAAAGAAACGTAGTGGCGGACACACAAAATCAACACACATGATCTTAATGGAGCATCCCAGGGTTTTCCCTGATTCTGAACACACCCACATATCTCATCGTGATTCATCGATTCATCGTGCAAGTCAAGTCGATCTGGCCACCATTTTTTGCCATGGCTGGTCGTTGGCCCTGCACCTGCAGCTGTCCACTGAGGTGGAAGAGCTGCTCCAGGAATTCCAAACACAGGGCCTGGAGGGGTCGAACGATTCGCACAGGAAACTTCCCGGAGCTTCCTGTCAGAATTATTTTGATCTCACTTTATGAAAGAGTCCACACATGTCGACACTCACCTCAGACAATACAGACTTTCTTAAGCCAATCCTCACAGAGACAGATTTTTTTTTCAGTTTTCAAACGGTTGGTTTGAATCCAGAGTAACGTGCTCAGTACTCTGCTTCCCGCAGGACTCCATGCAAGTCTAGTAGCCTGGTCTCTATCCGCAGAAGATCTCAAGGCAAGAAGCCTCACAGATTGAAAGTCAGACCGTGCTGGAGTGCTGGACTACCAGAAATACATTTTTTTAACATTCTACTTAGATTCTACTTGCAGCTTTCTCTAGCACCCCTCAAATAAGAAACAAATCTAAGCAGAACTTGACCTCCTGAGGAGGACTTTGCGAGTGCATCTTGTCTTTGCTGAATATACTAAATACCAGTACCTGTTAAGCTGTCCTCCAGTCGAAGAATCATGAAGAACCATAATTCTATCTGGGGTGAAATGTGGATTTCATGAGGATGGAAATGGCGGATGTCAATGTGAATTCATCGAATCCATTAAGGCACATCCACTATGCCACCCTTGTTTGCAGTCAAGGAGCACTGAGGTTAGCAAGCCTTCAGCACGTGCTCCTCAGTGCAGGGCTGCTTCCAAACAATCCTGGTCACTGGTGTGTTAGTGAGAAACCAAAAAAATATGATTCACAAGACAATTGTATGTACCGACATGTTTTTTGAGCGTGGATGAAACAAATATCAAGTGTGTGCATATGGAGGGTATCTTTCTTTAGCTATTTCATGCGAGTCGTTTTTGAGAAACATTTTATTGTGGACTCAAAGCCAACAGTCCAAGCCATGTCAAACCTGTCAGAAGCCTCAAGCCAAACTCAGCCAACTGCAGCAACCCATGTAGAGCAATCCCATGCAATCCCGCACAGATCAAAGAAGATGTTTACAGGAAGAGGACAATGTCATCCCTCTGCGTCCCTTTGGTGCAATCCCCACTGTAAAATATGTAAACGCAACATTTAGAAATCTATCCCGTAGTCATCCCTTTGATGTTCCGCCCAATGTGAACGCCACAAATCTTGATCGTTTTCTAGCACCAAATTTTGGCAATATGCCTGGATAATGTTGCATTTAGGTTGCGTTTGAATGGTCATGAATGGTCCAAAGTGTTTGCACATCAGGAAATTGGATATGCAGTTTCCAATGTAAACGCAGGATTTTCCCAACAACGATTCTGTTGGGTTTCAATCTTTTGGGCACAGCGTGGTGTCAGGAAGAATGCAAACTTGGAATCTTGGAACCAAGTCCTGGAATCTTGGAATCCTGGAATCCTTGTATGCAGTCAAGTGTCCTTCAAGAGCATCTTCGGAGGAGATGAGCATAGCAAAGAAGACCCGCATTACCCAAATCAGCTGTTGGTGCCTTGCACAAGACAAGTGAACTCGCACTCTCTCACTGTCAGAACCTAAGTCGATTATAGTAGATTGGTATGTTGAACCATCGGGCTTGGCATCTTGAATGGTCTGCCTCTTCATCCTGCCTGTGGAACATTACTGCGCCTTTGGTGAGGTCCAACAAATCACCAAGCGTCAGTGGAATTGGATTCTCTCAAAAGAAATTCCAAACGTCTCCAAACAGAGTCTTGTCAAAACCGCAATGTCATGGATAGTTTATTGTCCTCCTCGTTTGTATGAGTTTTTCATAGTTTTTCTGTAGCAGCACACAGGTTGAAGTTTCAACTTTACTTTTAGCGCTGATCAGGTTGTCTTCAGGATTGCTTCCTCTACTCCCAATAACCTGCACCCACGACAGAGGAAGCATAACATACACAGAGACAACCAAATATCGATCTTTCTCTCGATATTATTATTACTGTTACTATTACTGTATCAATATCATGATTATAAAAAAACAAAAATACCAGTAGTACCGCGCAAGGTGGTGGAAGTTTCAAAGAGTGGAAATCTATAGGAGAGGTGAGTTGTCATGGGGTCAGAAGTTTGACTTCTAAACTACTTCAGTTTCCCATCAGAAAACACTTGCCCATCATTTCCCGCCACAAATCGAGGCATCTTTCACCGGTGTTGCTGCCTGCGTTGCTCCGACAATTGCTGCAGAAGGGCGCTGAGCTCAGGCAACTGTTTCGCGGCAGAAAATGCAGCCTGGGTAGTGTTCATGCAAACAGGGCAGAACATGATCTCTTCAACTCGCAAACATCCGGAAACACAAACCATACAATGCCATACAACAACCTTGCTGCATGCCATTTCTCGGAAAAAACAACGGGCCAAAATCATCCAAAATCTGAAAGGTGAGGTCTTCAAGCGGCTTGTGATGAGGAGGCAAAGAGGTTGGCTGCAGCAGCACATTCAGCCAAACCAATTCCGGCTCCAGCATCATGACCACCTGAGACATGCGTCAAGAAGTTTTCTACAGGTCTCTGGTATTTACTTGCAGGTACTTGCAATGCATTTGCCTCTGATCTTTGCGGGCCTTCTAGATACCCTGAAGAAACCCGGTCCGACTATGGTAAAGGGAGAGCCACAGCGTGATTCTATTCATTTGGATCACGCTTTCCTACATCAACAGGTTTTTTAAAATGTGTTTTTTTCATATGCAAAAGACATAAAACATATTAAAACATCATATACCACATTGACAACAACAAAGCGGTTCCCTATGACTTTGACCGCTTGAACTTTCCAGGCACTTTCTCCATGAAAAATCAGTGTTGGCGACAGGGGGGGTCGAAATTTTTGAGGGCTGCGTAGCGCTGCGTAGCGCTGCGTAGCGCTTGAAAAATCAATGTTTGCAAATAGGATCAAAACCTTCACCGGCACACATTCCATCAAGTCTGATCAAACGTAAGTAATTACTTTTCGGGTATTTGCAAGTACGTAACCTTGCACAATCTCCACGGGACTCACATGACTTCTACATTCGACACATTAGACTTCGTTGCAAGTGCACACCAAACACACCGAGAAGCTCAAAACACGCAGCAGGTGTTGCGAGGCTCGCGTGCCCAGCGTGGCCAACGCGGCAGAATCGCCGGTCTCTGAGACTTCCTGCGAGAACAACAAGCTTCCCACACTGGCAGCTCACCGAGGCAAGCACATTTACTGAAATCGATTGACAATAACTTATAGTTATACATGATTTGAACATATGAAGTCCATGCTCCCAAAACTTCTGAAGACTCTGAAGTAGATAGAGCTAGGACTGATTAGGACTGGATGGATATTCGTCTGGTCATCTAGAGCAATGATGCCGGAAACAAGACTCTTGGATACTTCCTGCAACTCAGAAACCGTCTGTGGTCTGTAGCTACTTTGTAGGCTGCTAGAGGCTGCTTAACGTCTGCATCGGTCTGCCCGGGCCTTCATGCGAATGGCAGCCCACGACACAAGTGCAGCAGTTGCCAGCTGCTGCGTTTCCATCGGCATGTCCGCCTCATGAATGTGCATAGAACTTATTGCAAAGCAATGTCCTCCCATGTCTCCTCACCATGCTCTTGAAGCACCTGTTGTCACTGAGTCTAATGGGTACATTCAAATACAGAATCGTAGTGACATAATGTGACATACAGCTTAGGACATAGTTTGTCTATCTCCCTCTCTTCGAAATCAGTTGTGAATTGAATTTCAGCTTTGCTGAGACGATGAGATTGCGATTGCGGACTTTTCGTAACATTTTCACCTCGGTGGCCTGAAGCGCTTCGCCCAAAGCCACAGTCACTTGCCAAGAGAAGAGGAAGTCACTGTCCTGCAATGTAAAAACATGTAAAAACCATGGTTTGTGTGACCGAGATTGATTTACCATGATTTACCGTTCAACACGGTTCCATGATGTCCATGGATTTGGATTCGGCAGCTCCCGTTATTCCCAGTTGCCGTGAGCCCCAGCTCCTCAATCGGCAGCTCCATGAATCTCAAAAGTGCAGCCAAATGGAGCCGAAGGAGGTTTGCCACGCGAAGCAGGCCGTGACCTGTTGCATTGGTCCCAATGTCTTTGCAGAATTATATACTTAGATTTCTGAGATTTAATTGAGATAATATATTAAAATCATTTTGCATTTGATTAGTCTAATAAATAGTCCATCGAAACCATCCCCAGCCCACCATGCTAACATCGTCAAATCTAGAGGAAAAAACCAGCAACAAAAATTCACCTGATGGTCAACCATCGAACCTACGCCGCATGCCTATCTACCTCAATTGTGAACTAGCTGCTGCTGCTAGTCCCAAAATCAAAAGGTAGCACAACTGTGGCACAACTTGCCTCCGACTTGTTTCTGTACAGCAACGCCCAGGCTCTGCAGGGTCCACTGCCACTGTTGCAACAAAGCAGTGCTTTTCGACAGCCACAGCAGCAGCTGGGAATCTTCTCCAGTCCCTTGCACCGGGAACAGCCTAAGGACCTTGCCTGGGTGCGGTTCACCTGGATATATTGCATGGGCAAACGAGAAATGACTCAAGCCATCTCAAGCCTTTCAAAAAAGGCGGCTGCAAAAGAAGAGAAAAGAACATGGATCTGATATGATCTGATCTGCTTCAAGCCTCTTCCCCAAATCCGAAGAACAATCACGAAATGATAGTACGGGGTGAATCAAACACTCAAAGCCTTTGCGGACAATGACCACCCTTGGAGATCAGTGAGCCTTGTATCACTAAAAGAACCACATCCGTCTTGACCGTCAACACATCCAACTCGCCCAACTCGTCGTTGCCCTCTTCAACCTCATTCCACAGCCCCACAGCGGCATTTTGAAGCTACCAGCCCAGGGCATTGGATGGACCAGCTATGACCAGCTTCTGTTTTGCATAGGACCTGAATCTGTCACAACAGAAACCTGAACAAACTTTGGAGCTCGTTGCGAATGCTGCGGCTGTGAAGACAGGGCAGTCTCCGCACTGATGCAAGGTAGTAGCTCTGCTGTGGAATCTCTGGTCAGCGCAACTCCGAACAAATCCGGGCTTTGTGGGAACAAAGTTCATACATGGGAAACATATTATGGAGATATTATGGAGATTTATGGAGGTATTATGGAGACACATAGATCAGACATGACCACATTGACTTGAGGCGGCTCAACAAACTGCTGTTCCTGCCAGTCCCGTGCGCTCAGGCAGCAACAGTGAGGTCTTCGCAAGCTGAGACTACTGACGTCCACAGACCAGCCTCCCATGTGTCGCATCGCAAACAAAACGAACCTGGATGAACCTGGAATATGCCCAATTAGCGCCCAAATATGGCCAATCCCAACATATCCCAACCATTTCATTTCTCCTGGTTTCTGGGCCTTGAAGCTTGTGGAGATATGTGGAGATGACAGCTGAGTACCAGACATTACCAGACTATATTTTTACACAGTTTCTGTGGAGAGAGAGACCAACCATGACCAACCTATGTCATGAATCCATCAACTCAGAGTGTTCTCTCTGTTGAGGTGTAATCAGTGTAATCTATTCAGACATCCATCATCCAGTAGTCTTTTGCATTCCTTCAAACACATTCCATGGGGGATGTGATCAAAAGTCTAGGGCTAATGATCTACAAATCCCAACAAACCTTGAAGATCACATGTGCTGCATCCGTAAAGTTGGCTGCCAGTAAAGCGCTTAAAAGCCGCAAGAGGCTGCGTCGTAGACCTGAGTTGGTAATTACGGGATTTTGGTGGCACGTTATGTTTGTATAAGATGAATAATTATATATTATATATTATATAATTATATAATTATATGAATTGAACTCGATTAACTTTGTCGCTGACCAAACGATGTCTATAAATGTACACTTTGACATTGCTAAGATGCCAATATGAATAGCACGTGATATGGCATCAAAACAACATTCATAGTAGACCAACATTGAGAAGGTGGCGACAGATTTGGTCGCTCAAACATTCAAACGCCAAAATTCGACACTCTGCTCCTGTTGGGAAAGTCTTGGGCCTGCAACATGCAGTTCTACACACCAAATCAAATAAAGTATATACCCCTTTCAAACAATGGAACCACCTGGAACCACCAATGGCAACAAATTGCATGCACATACTTCAGTTCTGTCCACAGCCAAGTGTGAAAATCATTAATCAGCCACTGAATCATATCAATTTCAAATCCTATCAGGTTCAGTCACATTCATTGTTTATGCATGGTATATCATGGTATATCATGGTATACCATACACATCCATACACCATATAGTGATATATAGTGTAGAATCACATCTCGTATAGCCACGTCATGTCACGTCATATCATCCACCTGCTAGCGCTGCTCCAGTTGTGTTGCCAAGCTGCCAAGGTGTGAAGCCTTGAAGCTTTTGGCCATGCTGACCAGGATCCTGGGTGGTTAAAGCAGTGGCTCATGGTATGTGGTACACATTTGCGGCACTTGCGGTTTCAACAGAACTTGGGCAAACAGGTTTCCAACATCATAAATTGCCAGATTACCAAACTGATCTAACTGCATACTGTCAAAATGCTGTGCACCAGCAGCACAAGCATGGATTTCCTCCTGTCACAAATCAAGATGCAGGTGCAAGAAACCCAGATTCCAGGATTTGCTTGGCATTCTCCACTCCGGCCTGTGTGGAGAATTTGCACTGAGTTCAACTTTTCACAGAATAGGGTTTCGAACAGTCAAAGTTCTCTATTTTGATATTTGGATATACTTGGCGTTTCAACATGGCAGTAGCATCTCTGCACTTTATCATCAGGTACCAAATCTGATCAGACCATGCTGTCAATTTTTCGAAGATGTTGCAGCCTCCACACTCCAGCGCAACACTTCCACAGCTTCAGCTGCTCGTGCAAAGGTGTCTATTGACAGCAGCTCCTGGATCTATTCAAAAGTCTCTTTGGTCAGTGCAATTTCTTCATGAGACAAGTCGTCAAATTGTCAATCTGTTAACACTCACTCACTGTCACTCATTTTGGTTGAGAAATTACAATGCGTTTGTTCTGTTGGCCAGTCAGTCAGTGGAAACATGCAGAAACTGCTTGACATTGCTTGACAAAATTTGACCAACATCAAATTCACCTGACAACCCACAAGTGCCTCTCGCGACCAGGCACGTAGCGCACGCAAAGCTCGTTGAACCGCAGCACGTCGTTGTAGCTGAAGTGCCTCGCATGCAGCATTGCGGTTGTATTGTGCTTTCCAAACGCAATTGGATCAGCACTTGTTCAACAAAGAACTAAGACCCTGAGACATTGGGAGGACATGGGAGGACAAATCTCACCAATTGGGAAGGCTCATCTAACCAACATCCTCTTTCTAAGCCTCACTGCTTCACATTAGTTAAGTCGACCGCATTGAATTCACGCACCGCTACAAGCCCGAACCATAATCTGAATGTATTGACCCAACACTTCTCATGAACAAATAGGGCAGCGGGGGCAGTGGAAGCACGCCGTTGAGTGGCTTTTGAATTAGGAAGTGAAGAAAACGGTCAACCCAACATGATTCACCGACACCTCTTGATCATCTTCATCTCTGCAGAAAAGCAGACCTCGACACACAGCCAGTGGAAGCATCAATTAAACTATATAAATCTCAAGAAAACTGGATGAAGGTAAGCCAAACCAACTGAGCATTTGCCACGGCCAGTCAACTTATGTGACTGACAGTGCAAGGGGCTACTTGGATCATATTTGGCATGATCCGACCACATAGTTGCAATGTCTAGTTCACCTGCCTACCTGCAATTCACAGCTGTCAGGGCTGCGATCCACTACTCATGTAGCACAAGTATGCACTTGCTGCCACTATGAAACAAAAACCCGAAATGGGTTTCAAATGCTTACAGCCGAATGACTCGACAAACTTGGCCGTTGAATGCCAGTGAGCCCTTTTGCACCCACCAAGCAAACCCACTTCAAATTTCAGGCAAGAAAATGCAGTTGTTGGCAGCATCATACGGAATGATTTTTCTGCTCTGACAAGGGGAGCATCATCACCGAGCATTCCCAGGAGTCTGGACTAGCCCAGACACATCGCAAGCACCGCCATGCGGCGGCCGAGACCACAGCATCCACGTGCTGTAGGAACGGAGTGACCTCGAGCACGTGACCGCTTTGAAATTTGCAAAGAAAACCGTGACTTTGCCCTCTTTCTTGTCCGGTTCAATACAGCCATGACTGGCGCATGATCATTACTGAACATGATTGCTTGTTAAATGCCAAAATCAGGGAATGCAAGGTCTCGAGTCTCGACATACCTTACTATCCACATCAGCGGAGGTCGGAGAGAAAATTCACCACAAAAGGGAAACAAACCTCTACAGAGAGCCCAATACACCACAAAAAGGAGTAATGCTGCTACCCAAGCAGCATATGCTACAGCTTCCGCTGGGGCAAATTCGGCAGACAGCCACAGCCTGTTGCGGAATGGCTCTTACAACATAGATTGGCGGCATATGGTGCTGAAACAACAGTTCTGTCTAATTCTGTCTAGTTTTTTCCTCGGTTGGAGGATGGAGGCGGATCGGCATAATCTTACCATGTCTGATCATGGCACTGGCTCTTGTCATACGGCCAGGTCTTTGTGAGAACTTGAAAAGATGATTAATTACTCGTTTTGAAACTTTGCAAATTCAACGGATGATACTGATGTTTATATATGTTTATCATGACCACGATCATAGATGACGGCAACAGGACGATGGGCATTGCATAATCTACATAAGACATCAAAAGACATCATAAAACATCAAAAAACATCATGATTCATGATGATGATAATGATGATGATGGTGCTCTCATCATCGCCGAGGCCCAACACGACGCTTTTGGTACGGGACGTGACCAAATTTGCCCAGCAACGCGCAGTGGATCTCGGTGGAGTGGTAGCGCGTCGTGTTGGATCGAGCGGAGAGGCGCTCCAGCAATACCTCCACGGCGAAGCCATGGACCGAGGTGTTTACCGGTGATTACAACTCATTACCACGTCAAGGCTACGTAAACTGAAAGGAAAAGGACATAGAAGGACAAAGGTATAGAATGGTAAAGGATAATCGAAGGAAGTTTAGAAGTCAAACTTCCGACAATATGGACAGATGAAAAGCAGAGCAGGGCAGAGGCAGAGAGAAGGGAAAAGATTAGAAGAGAGAAGAGTAGAAGAGAAAGAGTCAGAAGAAAGAAGATGCAGATGCGCGAGGAGGTAGGAAAGTCGCGAAACACGGTGTTTTTCCAATGATTTTTGGCTCTGGAGGGTCGAAAAGTAGGCCGTAAAGATGCATTTTCCGTGGCAGGCGCAGTACAAGAGACATGTTCATCAGAGATGTTAGGAGGTCCGGGCACTGATTTCCTGAGAGGGGTTGCATTTTGCAGCATCAAATCTTCAGTTTTGGGAAGATGATTTTGTGTGACAGGTGCAGCACTTCGTATGGCCTGGCCTCTCTTTTTCGTGGCAGCACATGGACTGGAAAAATCGCAAACAAGCATTGGCACAAGGCCGTCAGCTCTGCACTCAACTGTCCAAATTTGAAGGAGGTCTCGCAGAATTGCTTCGTTTTTGATGTTGCCAACTTCAAAAATTGAGGAGGTCTCGCAGAAGTGCTTCGTTTTTGACGTTATCAAGTTACGTCTCGCAGAATTGCTTCGTTTTTCATGTTTGTCACCTTCGAAAATGGAGGAAGCCTTGCAGAATAGCTTCGTTTTCAAACTTGCAGATAGATAGATCGATACATAGATGATGGAAGATTGAGATAGAGATAGATTAAGATAGATAGAGATAGAAGATAGAAGATAGATAGATCGATACATAGATGGATGGATGGATGGACAGATAGAGAGAAATATAGTTAGATAGATAGATGGACAACTACCACTACAGCTACAAATACAAATATTCTACGCTACAGTACACTAATTGCACTACACCATACTACAGCTATAACTGTAACTACAACTGCTATAACGACTACAGCTACAGCTACAACTACAACTACACTACATTACACTACACTAATTACACTACACTACGCTCATTACATTACATTACACTACACTACACTAACTCTAAACTACACTACACTACAGCTACAACTACAACTACAAAGACAAACTACAACTACAACTACGACTACAGCCACACGACACTACAGTTACAACTGCAACTACAACTGCAACTACAACTGCAACTACAGCTACAGCCACAACAACATTACACTACACCACACTAATTACTCTACACTACACTACAGTAAACTACACTTTGCTACACTAAATACAGCTGCAACTACAACTACACCACTTTACACTACACTAGACTAATCCACGCTAGTCTACACTAAAGCACACAACACTCCAGCACACCACACTACACTACATTGCATTACACTACACTCATTACACCACACCACCTATCTATCTGTCTGTGTGTCTATCTATCTCCCTATCTATCTACCTACCTATCTAGCTGTCTAGTTTTCTAGCTATTTGCCTATCTATCTCCCTATCTATCTATCTATCTATCTGTCTAGCCATCTATCTATCTATCTATCTGTCTAGCCATCTATCTATCTATCTATCTATCTGTCTGTCTAGCCATCTATCTATCTATCTATCTACCTACCAATCTATCTATCTATCTGTCTAGCCATCTATCTATCTTTCTATCTATCTATCTATCTATCTATCTATCTAATCTATCTATCTTTTTATTTAGCTGTCTTTCTATCTATTTGTCTGTCTGTCTATCTGTCCACCTATCGATCTATCTATCTATCTGTCTGTCTATCTATCTATCGATCCATCTATCGATCCATCTATCTATCTATCTATCTATCTATCTATCTAGTAGTGGAGTGTAATGGAGTGTAGTGGAGTGTAATTTAGTGTAGTGGAGTGTAGTGGAGTGTAGTTGTGTAGTTGTAGTTGTAGTGTTGTGGAGTGTAGTGTAGTGTAGTGAAGTGTAGTGGAAGGTAGTGTAGTGTAGTGTAATGTAGTGTAGTGTAGTGCAGTGTAGTGTAATGTAATGTAGTGTAGTGTAATGTAGTGTAGTGTAATGTAGTGTAGTGGAAGGTAGCGTAGTGTAGTGTAATGTAGTGTAGTGTAGTGGAGTGTAGTGTAATGTAGTGTAGTGTAATTGAATGTAATTGAATGTAATATAATGTAATTGTGTGTAATTGAGTGTAGTGTATTGGAGTGTAGTGTGGTGTAGTGGTGGTTGTAGATGAAAATGCTACAAAACCCTCACGTTTTGCTCAATCCCTTGCGCCTGCCACGCGAAGCGACATCTGAACCTCCAAAAGTGGTCCGAGGACCTGGTGTGTTTTGTACATTTTGACTTCGAAATGTGCTTCGCGCCACAACGGCGTGCACTTTTTCGACATCTCAACTTCCAAAAGTGGTCCGCACCTGGTTCGTTTTCTACATTTGGGCTTCGAAATTTGCTTCGCGCCACAACGGCGTGCACTTTTTCTACATCTCAACTTCCAAAAGTGGTCCCAACCTGGTGTGTTTTGTACATTTGGACTTGGAAATCTGCTTCGCGCCACAACGGCGTGCAATTTTTCATCTCTCATCTGGCCAACTGGCTCCGCACCCGCCGCTTTAGCGAGCCTACTTTTCGACCCTCCGGAGACACAAATGATTGGAAAAACACCGTGTTTCGCGACTTTCCTACCTTTTCGCGCATCTGCATCTTCTTTCTTCTGACTCTTTCTCTTCTACTCTTCTCTCTTCTAATCTTTTCCCTTCTCTCTGCCTCTGCCCTGCTCTGCTTTTCATCTGTCCATATTGTCGGAAGTTTGACTTCTGAACTTCCTTCGACAACTGAAACTACACTACACTAATTACACTGCACTACAACTACAGCTCCACTACACTACAACTACGTACAACTACAGCTGCACTACACCACACTACATCCAGCAGTTGTGGGGGAGGTGACCACTGCAACCATTGCCACCACTCCAAAAAACACAACTCCAACCACCTTTCGGTCCATCAGTGGATTCGCTCTGTCATTCGTGATTCACAACAACCAACCTCTCCTATAGGTTTCCGATTTCTGAAACTTCCGCCACCGCCTTGTGCGGTACTACTGGTAAAGCTTCATTTACATTTCGTGATGTGTCTACCAATAGAATCCATTGAAATAGCGGAGTTTCACAGCTGCAAAGTTGATCCAATTTGAACATGAGGCGCAGCACGTCTAGCTGTCACAGGCAGTACTGTACAATTATTTCCTGCCAAAGTCGCAAACCATGGAACACGAATAAACAATCTGTACAAGTCGGAATCGTGTTGTACTATTAATATCTACTAATCTGGATGATTTCTCTGTACAACATGCATCTGTGCGAAGTTGAAGGCTCCCAACAGCCTTCTGGGGAGAGCCTCCATGAATCTATCCAGGAATCAAGAACAAGAACGACCAAGGAGACACGTGCTGTCCAGGGGTGGGAGCTTGCACGGTCTACCAAACTTTGTCATGGCTGTTATGGCAATGTCTGTCCGTGTCTTTCCATGCCGGAAAAAAACCTAAAAGGGTGCTGTGACCTTCTTGGTAGGCCTGGGGAATGGCTTTCGGACACCGTTCTTGAACATTACTGGCTTGTACTCGTCAGGCACACTCTTATGCATCACTGGGCTGTTTCGATAGCGCTCAATATGGGCTTTGAATCCTTGATGGGGTCCACTCCAGCTTACTTCGCAAACCTTAGCAGTAGGCAATGCCCAATCCGAAAAGCCATGGAAAATCTTCCACAATTCATCAACAGCCTTGCCGTCCACCAGGTTCACGAAAGCATAGCCCAAATTTGCATCGCGGTAGAAATCACAGGGCAAGTATGCAAAGTCATATTTGCCCATCAGCCCATGGTCATCCAACATCTTCAAGAACATCTCCCGCGTGTAGTTGTTGGGCAAATTGCGCAACATCACAGTGGTCCGTTCTTTGCCTTTGCCAATCTGAGTTTCCTGAGCCTGCTGCTTGCCATTGCAAGGATGGACATCGGATACAGGTTGAAGTGGCTGAAGTGGCTGAAGTGGCTGGAAGTGAGGTGCCTGCATTGTTTGTGTTTGCTGATGAGTCTCCCGGAAGTTGGCTGGGCTAAGCTTTCCAGGCTCGTACACTTCCGGATCATTCATCAGGGCAAAGTCTGTCTTCGCCCGCCGGAGCTTCCGGTATGTCTGCATCAAGCTGTGCCCATCATCCATGTGAAGAAACGTGCTCCTCACGACCAGATGACCCGTGCACTCCTCACACAAGTCCGAGATCTCGTCGGAGCAATTGGCAATGTTGGAAGCATCGGTGGCCGCGTCAGTGCCCGCATCACCGAAACTGTCTGGAGGGCAGGGAATGATCACAATTGGCACATACATCATGATGGGCAGGGTTTTGGAGGCTTGATCCTCAGACTGTGCCACGTCCGGCCTCAGACCAAAATTATGTAGTGTTCTCACCACATGTTCAAACATGTTCAAGCGTTGGGGAACATGCCAAAACATCTTGAGTACTGTAGATCACACCTCATCTGATCACACTTATTAGCTACTGTGCAAACACTTGCCACTTTGCTCAGGGACTTGTTAACAGTCGCACTTAGAAGTGCCACCACATGTGTCTGAATTTTGCCGACTGGTGCACATAGATCACATAGTAAGCTCGAGGCTAGTTCCAAACATATTCCAAACATTGATGTTTAAAGAATCAACAACCCATGGCAATCCGGAAAATCATGGAAAATCTGAAGCTGTGCACTTCCTCCACATGCCCAATAGGATCAATAGGCTCCCAGCGCACCTCCCCAAAGTTGATGTGCACCTGTAGCGTAGCGATGCATGTGTCAGCGGCATTCCAGCAAGGCTCAGTGCAAAGTGAAACAATTGCCATTGTCAAATAATGTCAAATAAAATGATTCGGGCTTGAAGTAAACATTTATAAAAGCTGAGTCCGAATTAAATTGCACATCAGAAGTATTCAGAAGCTGCACACTTGTCAAGCTTGTTCTGAGTAAGTATGTTGTATTGCTGCCAGGGACGTACAACTAGCATAGCTGGGTGCCTTAAGTTGCACTTTCCATGCACAATTCACAGGCAAAAGTACCACAATGGTATCAATATGTCACTGATGTATGAGTGATTGGAATTTGCGGGAGGTGTCGGTTCCAGATGTTCTGGGCGCAATGCGTCTGTAGATTATTTCATGTCAATGGCACTGTCTTTCACTGAAGGTTGGCAAATTGGGTTCCACTGTTGGCCGCAGCTTGCCATGACAATGGGTGCTTCTGTGCAAATTTGATGCCAGCCGCGCATTGCTGTTGTTTTGTTTTGACCAGAGTGTCTGCTGTGAGGACTCATGGAACTTTGCTCCAGCATGTTCCGACTTTGCAACTGTACATGTCTGGACGTTGAGTGCAAAAACTTGGTACTTGGTCATGAAACCTGGTAGCCATTCAAGCAAACGTCAGCTTGCAACGGCTCATGACAAATGAGGGTCCTGTACAACATGCATCTGTACGAAGTTGAAGGCTCCCAACAGCCTTCTGAGGAGGCCTCCATGAATTTATCCAGGAATCAAGAACAAGAACGACCAAGGAGACACGTGCTGTCCAGGGGTAGGAGCTTGCACGGTCTACCAAACTATGTCATGGCTGTTATGGCAATATCTGTCCATGTCTTTCCATGCCGGAAAAAAACCTCAAAGGGTGCTTTGACCTTCTTGGTAGGCCTGGGGAATGGCTTTCGGACACCGTTCTTGAACATTACTGGCTTGTACTCGTCAGGCACACTCTTATGCATCACTGGGCTGTTTCGATAGCGCTCAATATGGGCTTTGAATCCTTGATGGGGTCCACTCCAGCTTACTTCGCAAACCTTAGCAGTAGGCAATGCCCAATCCGAAAAGCCATGGAAAATCTTCCACAATTCATCAACAGCCTTGCCGTCCACCAGGTTCACGAAAGCATAGCCCAAATTTGCATCGCGGTAGAAATCACAGGGCAAGTATGCAAAGTCATATTTGCCCATCAGCCCATGGTCATCCAACATCTTCAAGAACATCTCCCGCGTGTAGTTGTTGGGCAAATTGCGCAACATCACAGTGGTCCGTTCTTTGCCTTTGCCAATCTGAGTTTCCTGAGCCTGCTGCTTGCCATTGCAAGGATGGACATCGGATACAGGCTGAAGTGGCTGAAGTGGCTGAAGTGGTTGAAGTGGCTGAAGTGGCTGGAAGTGAGGTGCCTGCATTGTTTGTGTTTGCTGATGAGTCTCCTGGAAGTTGGCTGGGCTAAGCTTTCCAGGCTCGTACACTTCCGGATCATTCATCAGGGCAAAGTCTGACTTCGCCCGCCGGAGCTTCCGGTATGTCTGCATCAAGCTGTGCCCATCATCCATGTGAAGAAACGTGCTCCTCACGACCAGATGACCCGTGCACTCCTCACACAAGTCCGAGATATCAGAGCGGGGTGATGGAAGCTGCGAATGCATAATCTCACTGTGGTCCATCTCAGTGCTTGCCACATCACTCAAAGTGTCCATCATCTTCTGTGCCCTGGGCATAATCACAACTGGGATGCACAGCATCGCAAGTTTGGTACCAATTCTTGGTACAATATCAACCTTCCTTTGAGCCTTCCTGTGCTGAGGTCCGTGATACTGTGAAAGCAACATAAAGCAACTTGTGGCCCTTCACTCCCACAAGGTCCCACAAGTCTCTGTCAATCATTTCAGGTGAAATTGGTGTCCCTGAAAGGTCTTTGGAATCAAGCTGCCACAATGCTTCAGCAAAGGTGCATTGCTTCTGCTTACGACATTAGCTTGACTTCAGTCAACCACAAGCTAGAACTTTTACACTCAAATACAGTATATAATTTATTCAACTCTTTGTGTCAATACTACGACACACACACACACGCACACGCACACGCACGAACACACAAAGTGCAGCACTGTACCCCATTCCGCAAACATGGCCAGCTTGAAGGCGAACACCCACTGACATCATATCATATGTATTCATGTTATGTGATATCATGATATATATTGATACAATATAT